GTTATAGCGTTTACAAATGGTGGGGAAGATACTGGGATTTTTAGGGGTTTTTTTTATACTAATAATGGCGGCGATCAGTGACTTATGACGGGACTGCGGTGGACATTCTGACATTGGGGGGGGTACTGACTTGGGGTCACTGACATCCCCAGTGACACCAATACAGTGATCAAAAAAAACCCACTGACACTGTACTAATGGCACTGGGGAGGAAGGGGTTAACTTTATTTTTCAGGGAAGGGTTATCTGTGTGAGGGGGAGTGTGCTGGATGGGGACAGGCTGATCGGGAGAGAGAAACTCTTTTTGTCCCAATCAGCTTCTCCTCGAGCTGTCAGGGAAGTGACAGAAAGCACAGCTACTGCAGCTGTGCTCTCTGTCACTGATTGCCGCCGATCGCCGGGAGATAGCTGTAAGGACCGACTGTGACCCGGCAACTGACATCCGCGGCTGTGATCGGCGGGACAGGTAGGGCGGCGCGCCTCGCGCGCGCCCCCTACCTGTTTACAAAACACATGTTTTAAAACGTGGTTTTGCCTGCCCGTGCCGCCCTGCCAACGTATTTATACAGTGGCTGGGTGGCATGTGGTTAAAGTTCAACTAAAAAAAAAAAAAAAAATTTTTAAAGTTTTGAGTGGAGATGGATTAGAAACGCCTATTAGGTTCTTATTTGTGTCCATTAGGAAGCTTCACCCTCTCTATTTGCCCTGTTTACTGTTATGAAATATGAAGGTAAAAGAAAATTGTCAAATTTTCGGTTGTCCCCAGAAAAGTAATAGAGGGGAAATCTTCCAATGGGGAAAATGTCCCTCCAGGAAATGACTTGATAGGAAACGTTTTCAGCATTGATACACCACGCACCATATTTACTGTGTGTGTGTGTGGTATATGTATGTGTATATGTATATGTATATGTATATATATATATATATATATATATATATATATATATATATATATATTTTCTTTCCATGAAACTGTGATTGATATCCTTTCTGTTTGCTGGTCTGTTTTTTGGCTACTGGTTGGACCAGTAACCAAAAGTGCATTCATTTTTTTTTTTTTTTTTCTTTTCTTCCTGTGAACTGAAAGTAAAAGGATTATGGCCATTTTTTTCCCCAAGGGATTTTTAATTTTGCAGGGAATTCCCCTCACTTCCTATTTTGGCTATATTAAGGTAAATCTCCACAATAGGACACGGATGAAAAAAAAGACAGGTTTTATAACCCTTCCTTACACCATCCAAAATGAATAAAAAAAAAATAAATTTTCCTATAGTTCTATTTTAAGCTGGTCTCTACATGGCAGTTATCTAGATCAGCCTTTCCTCAGCCTAGTACCCAGCTGCCACTGGACTGAACTAGACTACACATTGTGCAGCTAACCTGGAAGTAACCTTTGCGTCTTGACATCCTGCATCTCCGATTCCTTGCAGAGGGAGACTGTTTCCAATGCTACAGGGTAAAGTTTCTGTCCCCAATTCTTCCCCAGTTCATTACTTCCAACCTGCCTGCCTCATCACACAGATTAGCAGATCTCCATGCCCACAGCTCCCCCTGTTTTCTCCCTTGTGACTCCAAGGGATCTAAATTTGGTTCTCTTGGCAATTCCACAAAATGCCTTTAGAACCTATCAGGGATATTCCCCTTTCCACTCATGCCCATAAAGTGGCACATCTTGTTGCCATCACCTCTGTGAGATGGAAATCTGTGCTGAGGCCTTATCCTGTGAAGAACCCTTTCTGGTCTTGCACAAGGACAGTTGGTGTTGAGGCCCAGAATTTCCTTCCAACTGAAGAAAGTTTCGGCCTTCCATATTAACCAAGGAATCACTCAGTTTTGCATCCCTCTGTCCAGCCCCAGTTTATCAAAAGGCAATTTTCCTCCGCTAATAACTGAAAACACAGCGCATTCCAATATAAAGTCCCTAAAGTCCCCATGCTCCATGCATATCTTCCAATGACCGTGTCCCGTACTCAAAACGATGCCAATCCCCTCCATTTCCTGGATGTAGTTTGGACTTGTGAACGTTTATCTCACAGAGACTGCTTCCTCCAGAAAGACAGACTGACTTTGTCATTCCTGATGGTCTCTGTACGAGTGAACCGGTTTCTTGTTTCACCCTTTCTGAGTGGCTCATACAGGCCAACGTTCAAGCTTAGGGTTTCAAGGATCGGGTTTCACCCGTTTCTGTGAAGGCACACACTAGTACAGGGGTAGTCAACCTTAGAGAGGTGGAGATCTACCTGAACAACATGGGTCAAAGATCACAGGCACAGTGCCACCTCCTCACACCTGATTTAAACCTCTAATTGCTGTATTACTGTGTCGCAATTGCGTGCATTGCACAGAAATCATGGATTTAAATAAGGTGGTGAGGAGGCAACATATTGCTTCCCCTCCGCCTGTCAAACACTTTGATTATTTTTCAGTGAAGCAGCAGTGTCTGCTGCATTTGTGAATGAGCCCTTAGTTGCATTCTTCAGCAGCACCTTTAGGGTTCTTTAACATGTAAAGTTGAGGGATAGTAAGACTCTGCAGCTGAATCACTTAGCAGATGTAGCACGCTCCTAGTTAGGTGCTAGTATAGGTATTTGCAGGTAAATATAGTTTGTTTGGTTTTTTTTTTTTTTTGGCCTCCTGCATTCAGGAGTTTGTGTGCTTTCTGAAAGTGCACCAAACCTGCAGGATATAATAGAAGTCTATGGCCAAGCACAGCAAACCTGCAGGAGAGCTACAGGTACACTGCACTGCAACCCGCACCTGCATTGTGGGTAAACTGCAGCACATCAGTGTGAAAGCAGCCTTATACTATTATGCCCAGTGTACTGCTTCACACTGACCTGAAGATCTCATCTTTCCTGCTGCTGGCACCACTCTGGAGGCTCCTGCTCCCTACTACAGCTCCAACTTTATAAGTAGTTCCTCTGCACTGCACTCTGATGCTCTGGAATGGCAGGTCAGCAAGACCAGACTGCAATCTACCAGTCACCTGGCTGTGGTCTACTGGTAGATTGCGATCTACAGGTTGCTGACCCCGCTCTAGTAGATCCTAGTATAGCATCAAGCTACTGTTTGCCAGATCTACAAGGCTGCTGTCTGGTCCTATATTCATATGTTCTTGATCTTCAACCAGGTGGAAGTTCAGGCCTCATCTGATGTCAGCTTTGAATGCAATATTCTTCAGACGTCTCTTTGAGCCACAACAGTCCACAGTTCTGTTTTGTGTGGACCTGTTAACATTTTAATAGGTCCCACTCCTCTATTTTTTTTATTGTGCTCGTGGCACTGCTTGCCTACAAAACTGAGGCTTGCTTAGAGTAGTGATTATTCCAGGCTGTCCAATCCTCCTATGGGTGACAATATAACCTGACAGTATATGATTTCCCTGTGTACCTCAATGGATTTCAAGAAAAGTATATTATGTTTAGTACAAAAATCCTGTTTGTTGAATTGTAATCATCCCTTGTGACAACATCTAGCTGTAACAGGCCCTCTTTACTGAGACATCTGAGGTCTGTCAGACCCCAGGATATCTCCTCTGCCCTTAACAGCATCAGATCAGACCAAGATCAGTGTGATTTGATGCTTTTACAAGCTAGTGATAGCCTGTAAATAAGACGGGAAGTGACAAAATACTGGCCACACCCAGTTCCTAATATTATAGAGGTGACTGCAGATAATCTGGTCTCCGAGAACCTCTATGGTAAGCCGGCACAACCTCCAGCTTCGGTGCTGGGCTCCCTGATTGCCTTGGGGGGTAGGGGACATGCGTGCGCCCTACCCACGCTGCCATTCGCGACCACTGCTGTCAGTCCCCGGGTCCTGGCTGGTGATTACTCGTCAGCGCCTGGTGATTACCGAGGATCTCCGATGAGGAGGAGGGGGCTGCTTTGTTTACGAACAGTTCTCCTCCCTGTCGGCTCAGGCACACTGCTTTGGATGGCTGTACGAAGCTGTGTTTACAAGGGGTGTACTGGGCATCTGCCATTTTCAGTTCCTCATGCAATTGCCAGTGCCACAGGTATTGGAACACTTGCTATGATTGATGATTTGCTACATACACTATGTTGCCAAAAGTAGTGGTGATGCTTGCCTTTCAAAGCACATTAACTTTAATGGCATCCCAGTCTTAGTCCGTAGAGTTCAATATTGAATTGGCCCACCGTTTGAAGCTATAACAGCTTCAACTCATCTGGGATGGCTGTCCACAAGGTTTAGGAATATTTCTATGGGAAGGTTTGACCATTCTTCCAGAAGCGCATTTGTGAGGTCAGGCACTGATGTCGGACGAGAAGGCCTGGCTTGCAGTCTCTGTTCTAATTGATCCCAAAGGTGTTCTATCAAGTTGGGGTCAGGACTTTGTCCAGGCCGGTCACGTTCCTCCACCCCAAACTCGCTCATCCATGTCTTTATGGACCTTGCTTTGTGCACTGGTGTTCAGTCATGTTGGAACAGGAAGAGGTAATCCCCAAACTGTTCTCACAAAGTTAGGAGCATGAGATTGTACAAAATGTCTTGGTATGGCCTGGCATGCAGTCTCCACTCTAATTCATCCCAAAGGTGTCCTATCGGGTTGAGGTCAGAATTCTGTACAGGCTAGTCAAGTTCCTCCACCCCACCCTCGCACATTCATGTCTTTATGGACCTTGTTTTGTGCACTGGTGCGCAGTCATGTTGGAACAGGAAGGGGCTATCTCCAAACTGGTCTCACAAAGTTAGGAGCATGAGATTGTACAAAATGTCGTGGTATGCTGATGCCTTAAGAGTTCCCTTCACTGGAACGAAGGGGTCAAGCCCAACCCCTGGAAAAAAAAAACCCACACCATAATCCCCCCTCCATCAAATTTTACATTTGGCACAATGCAGTCAGGCAAGTACTGTTCTCCTGGCAACCGCCAAACCCAGATACATCCATTGGATTGCGAGACAGAGAAGCGTGATTCATCCCTCCAGAGAACACTTCTCCACTGCTCTAGAATCCACTGGCTACATGCGTTACACCACTGCATTCGACATTTTGCATTGCACTTGGTGATGTAAGGTTTGGATGCAGCTGCTCGGCCATGGAAACCCATTCAATGAAGCTCTCTATGCACTGTTGGGCTAATCCAGTGTTTCTCAACTCCAGTCCTCATGGACCCCCAACAGGTCATGTTTTCAGGATTTCCATTATTTTGCACAGGTGATTTGATCAGTTTCACTGCCTTAGTAATTACCACAGCTGTTTCATCTGAGGGAAATCCTGAAAACATGACCTGTTGGGGGTCCATGAGGACTGGAGTTGAGAAACACTGGGCTAATCCAACACGAAGTTTGTAGGTCTTTAGCTATCGATCTGCAGACAGTTTTCAATTTCTGCACACTGTGTGCTTCAGCATGCTCTGACCCCGCCCTACTACCTAGCTACTTCGTGGCTGAGTTGCTGTTGTTCCCAGTTACTTCCACTTTGTTATAATACCATTAACAGTTGACCATGGAATATTAAGTAGGAAAGAAATTTCATGAATGGACTTATTGCACAGGTAGCAACCTATTACGGTACGATGCTTGAATTCACTGAGCTCCTGAGAGCAACCCATTCTTTCACAAATGTTTGTAGAAGCAGTCTGCATGCATAGGTTCTTGATTTTATAAACCTCTGGCCATAGAGGTGATTGAATCCAATGATTTGGAGGGTTGTCCCAATACTTTTGGCAATATACTGTATATGTCTGCTTTTTGCAGACACTCATATGATGGGTGGCTGCTCCCATGTTCTGGTTACGGGCTCAATGATCCTCAGCAAGCCATGGCATTACACAGGCAGAGAGGTGGGGATGTGTGTGTGTGAGGGCGTACGATGGGGTGGGCTTCCAAATCCCTTTATTGGGCAGGAATTACCCCCTATACAGTACCCCCTGTAATGGCTCCCGTATGGGTCAGATTAGCTGTGAATCCAATAGTGAACTTCCTAGCAGATATGGCATAAACTTATTCGAAGATTCCACTTCTGGAATCCTTTTCTCCCAAAGTCACAGGACTTGCACTTTAATTTGCAAAATAATGTATGCCAATTGGGCTTGCCAAGAGAGGGGTTTGAATAAGACTCTAGCAATTCCAGTGGATAAGGTTTCTGTCTTCAGAGATGCCAGGAAGAAGTTGAAGTCCTTTTTAAGGCATCCTTCTTTCAGGTAAGAGCAGCCTGCGATGGTTGCCAAGCCCTTAAACTTTTGAGTATTCTTCATTCCAGAGAATTGGACTCAGGAGTTTCTGGCATTTGGCAGTTCTTGGAAGATTTCCCAAGAACCTCAGAAGACTCCATAAGGTAGCTTTCCCATTGGGCAGCATGCTTGTCCACATGAGAAGGATTCTATGGCTCAATTGCTGGTTGCCAGGACTTCTCTGTAGGGAGTAACTTGTAAGGCTGCCCTTTTGAGGGCAAGCACTTCCTTGGACTGTCCTTTAGATACCGTCACCCGGAAAATTACTGTGGGTAAAGTCCTAAACAAGAAGTTGAAGGTGTCAAACCAGTGCCTCCTTCCGAATCCAAAAATAGTTCCTTTCTTAAGAAGCAAGCCCCAGGCTTTAAGCAGAGGCCTAACTCACAGTTCTATAAGAACTGGACTCCCAAATCCTCTGGATCCGTAGATAAGCCCACTTCTCAGTAAAGGCTCTCCCCCCCACTTGCGTGGGTGGGTATGTCTATCAGCTGTCTGAACCCAGGATAAGGTGATTGCTTTGCTTCATCAGGGGTGTCCTTGGTGTCTGTTGATATCAAGGATGCCTATCTCCTCATCCTGATTTTCATGCCTTACTAATGGATCCTGCAATCCACAGTAGAGGACAACCTATACCAGTATGAGGCATTGATGTTCAACCTTTCCATGGCTCCCAGAGTGTTTTTATCAAGGTGTTGCATCTGGTTCTGGGGTTGTTGAAGACCCTGGGTATTCCCATTGTGGGGTACCTGACAACATACTTATCCAGAAGCAATTGGCTCTGGCTTGGACAATAAATATCCAGCAGACATTGCAGGTTCTGAATAGATTCAGTTGGGTGTTGAACTTTGAGAATTCAGCTTTGGTTCATGCGTGACATTTGAAGTGTTAAGGTTTAGTTCTCGACATGGCACAGGCAAAAGTAGTTTTTCTGCAGGCAAAATACCTGTCTTTTTGGTCACTGGTGGAGGAAAGCCCTTTTATTCAAGTCTGTATGAGGGTGTTGGGGAAGATGGTAGCGGCCTGCGATACAGTCCCATATGCTCAACATCCTTTTATTTTGGGACAAGCATCAAGAATCCTTGAATCTGCCAATGCATGTGACTCTCAAAGCCAGGTTGGCTATTAAATGAATTGCAGATGCTAAATGCCAGTAGATCCTTCCTCTTGATGTATTGGAAGTTTTTGGCAATAAACGCCAGCTTGTCAGGCTGGGGAGGTGTTTTGGAGAACTTCTTGGTTCAGGAAACATGGTCATCAGAAGAACTGAAGTTGCTGATCAGTATCCTGGAGCTATGGGCGATTTGACTGGCACTGGCTGCCCTTAGGGGTCTCCTGATCACAGCCGAAAAATGACACGGTGGTTGCATACATCACCATCAAGGAGAGACTAGACTTAATTAATATCAGAAAGAAGCTGACCTAATCTTATTTTGAGCAGAATTTCATGCCCTGATCCTCTGTGCTGTGCATTTTCTCAATGTGGGAATATTGACCGGTAGACTTTTTCAGTTGGCAACTGCTCAATGCAGGAGTATGGGCCCTTCATCCAAAGGTGGTTTCAGAGATTTATCTGTGTTGGGAGATGCAGGATGTGGATCTCTTGGTGTCCAGATTCAATGACAAACGGGACAGGTTTGTATGCCACACTAGGTGTCCTCATGCATTTGCACTGAATGCCCTGGTAGCTCCTTGGAATCCGTTTTCCCTGATCTTTGCCTTCCTTCTACTGCAGCTTCTTTCTTGCCTGTTACACAGAATAAAGGTGGGAGGGCCTTTCTGTGATTCCAATTGCACCAGGAAGAACATGGTATGTGGACATTGAAAGTCTCATACTCTTACAAATAAATTGTACCATGAAAATAACTAGAAAACTGAAATAAATGTGAAAAATATGAATTACAGGTCCAAAATATTTAACTTATGTAAAGTCCTCCAGTGAAGAAAGTGTCCATCAACTACAATGCTCAACACATTGTGAAAAGTGCATACACCACCAACCAGTCTCTTACTAAGTTCTGAGACCCCAGATTCTAGAAGGTCTATACAGCATATCGCTGTATGTATCCTGGTAGTGTGGTTCAATGTGATTAGATGGTCCAATGCTGCAATGGTCAATCCTTTTCTTTGCCTTTGAGAGCGCTCACATATAAAATAAATCCACCATAGTGTAATACTGCCAATCTTTTATGAAGAAACCGCAAAGTTTCTACTTACAAGATATAAAATCAAAACCGCATGTAAATGAATTCGGTCTGTGCCAGCTCTAGTCAGCACAGACATACCTTGGTCCCCTTTACAATGTCCTTTTGGAGGAAACTTACATCGGGGTAGGAGGAGTTTGTGCTGATGTCATCATTGATGACTGGAGCCGCCACCAGCAGCATTCATTTACATGCGGTTTTGAATTTAAGAAACTGCAAAGATTCTACTTAGAAGATATAATTTCTTAATTCAGAATTCTTATTTGTAAGAGTATAATTTAAACATATTGTGGATATTTTTGGTCACCAAGTGCAGTGAAAAAAAGTTTTTGTTTTGCTTTTTTTTCCTTTTTCGTTGTAAGTCTCATAGCAGACGAACCTTGTGCTCTTCCACATCGGCCAGACTTGCTATCACAGGGTCCGATCACCAATCCTACTGTACAGTCACTGGCTTTGATGGCAAGGCTGTTTAAACCAAAGTCCTGAGGGACTAAATCTTATTCATACCCTTCTCAGGTCTTGTTGTATCTGCCACTAATGGACCTCCATGTTTGGAGTCTACAGTTTAGGGAATGACCAACTCTCCACCTTTCCATGAGGGTTTTGGACTTAACAGTAGCCTTTCTGAGGGCAATTCCACATGCCCATTTTCACTCCAGACTGGCATGCAGATCACTAGCAGGATAGGAAAGTTCTTCCAGCGAGTGGCTTGTGAGGGCCTCATGACGAATACCAGCCCTTTAGCGGAGGAGTCCTAGATTCCTTCTCGGTAAAAGAGGCTTGGTCATCAAAGGAAACTTGACTCTTGATCACTAGTCTGGAACTCAAAGCCCTTTGGTTGTTTTTTCATCACTAATGCGTCACAAAAAGTAACTCTACCACCATACCAAATTACACTCCAGAGATGTCGGCCTCAAACAGCCTAGGTTCCTGCACACCCCCAGCGCATAAAAATTGATGAAAAAGCTTGAGTCCCCCCATGATCTTTTAAAAATATTTCATTAGTAAAAATGCTAGCAGGATATACCTGTGTGTGTATAATATATACAAACACACTACCAGTTACGTTTTCAAACACCCCCATTTTTCCAGTTTGTATTGAGATTTAAACCGTTAAAGCCCAGTGAATAATTTGAAATGGTACTAAGGTAAGCGGTAAGCTGCCAGAGGTAAAAATAAAATTTAAAAAAAGAAAGTTTAGGTTAACAAAAACTGAAAAATAAGGTACATTTAAGAGTTATACAAAAGACTCTTTTTCAGGGAAGAAGTAATGGGTTAACAACTCACTATTGGTCTGCAGCAATGTTGGCAAATTAAGCCTTGAAAGTTTATGCTAATAATTCCTACAGGTGTCCCAACATTTGTTGATTACTTGCAAGCTCTCTATCTCTATAAAATCAAGCTCTCTGTGCTGAAGCAATATTCGCACAGTATTGTACTTTGGGAAGTAATATTTTTGCTCTCCAAAGAGCGAGAAAAAGGCAAGTAACAATGGAAGACAGACAGCTCAATATACCCCTTAAAAGTGTTGGCCTTTCCTTTTAGATAAAATTGCAGCCACGAGCCAAGGTGTCAGTGAGTGCAGTTTCCTACACAGTCAAAAGGCACTCAGAAACTGGAGGAAACTGACAGGAGGACATCTGGCAGATCCAAATCTGCAACAGAATCAGAAGACAAGTTTCTGAGAGTCAACAGTTTGCGTGATAGGCAGCTCACAGGACAACAGCTTAACACTGATCTAAGTAAGCATTTCAACTGTGAAGAGAATACTTTGAGCTGCAGGTTTGACAGGTTGAGTAAAAAAAAAAGCCATTGCTTGCTAAAATGGCAGAAAAAGAGGCTTGCCTGGGCCATGAATCACCACCAATGGACTACTGAAGACTGGACCGTTGAATCAAAATTTGTGATGTTTGGTTCATCACGCAGGATTTTTGCACTCCATCGAGCTGGTGAAAAGATAGTTCCTCAATGTGTGACACAAACTTTGAACATGGAGGAAGAAGCATGATGATCTAGGGCTCTCTTGCTGGATCCAGAGTCTGTGACTTATACAGAATGAGTGGCACCCTGAACCAAAACTACTACTACCCGCATTTTGTGGTGCCATGCAATATCCGCTGCAGTATGCTCAGTTAGCCAGGGGTTCATCCTACAGCAAAATAATGACCCAAAACATACCTCCAGGGTGTATTAACACTACCTTAGCTGAAA